GGTTTTTCGCTATTCGCGGGGGGTAAAGAACGTAACCCCCACGAATAGCGAGGGAATACTGTATATTGATATCAACTGATTAAGTTTAACTTTTATGTAATTACAAAAAACATAATTATAATGTCACTATTTGGCTGGAATCTGCAATAAACCTTGTTTACAAACAGCTATATACAATAAATATACCAGAACTTATGAAGATGACCAAGTGCAATGAATTGTGCAGAATGAGTATGGCACAAGCTCAATAAGAAGGATACAAATATTTTTATGATATAATTACAGCAACTGCACTGAATCTAGACTAATTATGTAAATAGTGTGACTGTTGTGTATATTACAGTAAACTACCAATGATTATTTGATAGAACAGCTATTTTTTGGGTTTTACCTGACTATTTTCATCTGCCTGTTTCATCGTATCTTTAACTAAGTGTATTACTTGGTTCTTTGAATAAGAAACTAACAAAACTTAGAATACTTACAGTGTGCACAAAAAATATCTTGAAGTTTTTTGGCTCTGGTCGTAACTCAGGAGACCTATACAATTTAACAAATATTATTTTTAGTTAATACCATATAATTTAGATTAACTGACTGAAAACATTATCACTAATTGTGAGATTTTATTTACTGTACATTTCATAAAGTGAAACTTGAACATTACGACTCAAAGATGTCTTTAATGTTTCAATTACACAAATGTTTATCATGTAAAATAATCTCAGGGAAATTTTATCTTTCCTTATAATGATTTTGTGTTTCTACAAAATAATATCAGTGAATTAAATGATAGTTTTTGTTTAAATTTAAATTCAATGGGAAGATATCTAATATGCAGTCTTTTACATTCTTTATCTATATATTCCTCACTACAAATTCATATTTATTTTGGAATAGCTGCCAACACTATCTTTTTCTACACGTATAGTATTTACTACAATTTCTACACCACATTAACAATGGTTACATACAATACTTACTAAGATAACTTTCCTTTTAAGTACTTATTAACAGTTTACAAACAGTGTTTATTTGGTTGCTCACCTGTTAAAATTACATCAAAAGGATCTACACACACCACTTACCAAGGTATCTCCCCTTTCAATACCATATTAACAGGATCTACATAGAATAAATGTGGCCCTGTTGTCAAAAGTAACATTCGTCGGCGAGCAAAGAGACCCTAAACAATAAAATTATATATATGGTGGAAAATCAAAATCATTCTGTTAAAAATAAAAAATGAAAATTTCCAACTACTATTTTAGATAAGGTGTTAAACAAAAACATTAATTTTGCATGATTACAGAAATTATTCTACCATTTTACAGAATGTTAGTATATATTACTAACTTTGTTGTTAACAACCATGACAAAAATACTACCTTTTAAACAGGTTGATAACCTGAATGAAGTCACTTCATCACAGTTCAATAAGCAAGTTGAAAATACTCTTTCTTAGCTAGGCCAATAACATGAATGAAAATACTAACAACTAAATAGGGACAACATCCTCAAAGAAAACTAATATTCAAATGGGTTAATATTCTAGTTAAAAGGGTTAATAATTCTTAAATTGATTAATAAAACAGAAATGTTTAAGTCAGTTTATATCATGAAGCATTATACAAGATATGGTACTAGCAATAACCTGTAACATTAGCTCTGTAGTGCTTTTAAACTGTGTGTGAAAAAACTAACTCCCAGTTAAACACAAGCTTTGTGATAAGTCAATAACCTGATAGGAAATTGTTTTAGCAGAGGTGAATAACCCTAAAGTTTAACTCTTAGGTGAGTCAATATAGTGGATGAAAAGTTTTAATTAAAGAAACCCAATAACCGATGTTGTTTCCAAAATTTATCAAAGAGGCTGAAAAAGCTACCAACAATGAAAAAAATTGTAGGTCTTAAGCAGTGCAACAAAAACAAATGAAACAAAAGTTTTCTTGTAAACAGCTATCATTCACAACTCAAAAACACTTCACACATTCTGGATCTCGATGATATCCTGGTCTATGTTAAAACTAATTGTATTTCACAACAAAATGTTCACCACCCTATAACTGGTTCACTGTCTGACCTGAACAATCATGAAAAATACTGACATTTTCTTGATTAACTAAATTTCAAGCATTAAAAAAAAACAAAAAACATATTACATGACAAAAATAATTGATGTTATACTGTGTGAAACATTTAATTATCAGTAAACAAAACAAATCCTAAAACCCTTATAGAACATTGTACAAAACTTGCACATAAACATCTTCAAGAAATATGTTTAAAAAACTCCCAGTTGCCCAACATTTGAATTAACCAGTTAAGTCCATCAACTACCTAAATCTAACAGTGTCACAAAAACACACTTCAGTGCTATTAAAGTGAGCCACTACAAGTTTACTGATGACCATGTGATTAGCCATTCATTTTTATCATTCTACCTTTTGAAAGCATTACTTTTCTTGCATGATCCTACATGTATCCTGAAAACTGCCTCTGACATGTATCAATAAAGCCTAGACAAACATTCTAACCTAGTTTAAACAGTTTTAGAAAGTAAAAGAAAAACTAAATTTATGCTTAATTATTTGAAAGAAAAAAACAACAAAAATTATTCATTTTATCATACACAAGAAAAAGCTTATATTTTGTACTAACCAAAGTAAAAAAAAAGAAAAAGGGATTGATTTCAACATAATTTTAAAAATTCTATAATCATTGGTAGATTTAACATCTGTCCAAAAATTTACTTATCAATTTCTATCTCAAAACTTTAGTTGCACCTTTCTTTTATCTACTAGTCCCTGCTTCAGTATTAGGTTGCCTTGTACAAAACGATGCCAAGAGTTATCACGAGCCTGAACCTCCAGTCTTCGAGCCATCTCACTGGGAGAAATGTCCAGAATTGATGGCTTCTTTGCAGGTTTCAGTTTTGCTTCTTCTTCTTCTTCATGAAGAGCCAGACCAAGCAACCTAGTCATTTGCTTGTCCTCTAACCCTGGCTCTAAATGATCAGGAACCTAGAGGGAAAACAAAATAAAGTAACATCAAACAGTTGTCTAATGAACCTTTTACACATCTGTGTTTCAAGATTTGAAGTACTTATTCTCATGTTAATAAGCCATCTTTGTTCTGAAATTTCAACACATAAAATGTAAAAGCTAAATTATATTGATAAATACATTTTAACTTGGTGGAAATTATGATACACCAGCACACCACAAAGACTAATATATATATTCATAACAGAATGCATAAAAGATATAATTTTTTCCAAATAACAGTAGTAAAGCCACTTAAACTTTTTATTTACCACAAATACTAGACATGAGTGGTAAAGTTGCATTACAAAACAAGGAACACCATCTTAACAGTTACGAAAGCATTTGATTGTCAGAAGCTGCAAGTTATCTACAATTTATCATGGTAAATTCTATTTTGTTTGTTTTGAGTCATTTTGAAAACATATGTAATATTGATTTTTTGTAGAAGTGGTCAACCCGTGACACACAAAGAGAAAACTTTAGCGTGCCACAACGTGATATTTTCTAAATGATAGGTTTGCCATAAAAATTTTCTTTGAAATTTCCACTCACACATGAAATGTTATTCAAATACATACCATATTATGAATTATTTTGTAACACCTTTTAATTTGACAGCTTGATGCCCAGCTATTTCTATGGACTTTTGGTTTGGACAGCTTTTCAAACTAACACACCTGCTTAAAGGTTGACAACCCCTGGTTTACTGAATTTATACAGGTGTGAGCTTATTTCCTAACCAAACTTGTTAATACAAGAGAATTGGATTAAAACTTTTAGATATTATAAAATACTACTGATAAGCTGTGAAATTCTCTTCATTCTTTCTAGTTGTTAACAAAAGTGAAAATCTTAACTGTCAAACATCAGCTATCGTGTTTCATTCATAACCCAAACATTACCCCGACAGTGACAAATAAAGGTTTAACATGATATAAACCTACTTTATAGGAGTTCCAATATTATTCATCCACATTTAAAGGATGACATTCAATAAATATAATTATATTTTTAACACTGGAAAACTTTGTGTCTACATTGCTTGCTTTAATAAACTCTCTTACACGCTTCTATTGAACCATTTGAAGAGAGTAAAGTTTAACTTACATGATACTGACTACGCAGTTCCTCATTACTGGAAGTTCCAGGCAAATAAGGAAGAATGCGGGGAGGTGTTTCATTATGAAGATTTTCCCATGGCATATCTCTAAAAAAAGGATGCTTCTTGATGGAAGAGTAACCACCTTCATCTGTAGCACCTAGTCTCTGTGAGGGCTCAATGACCTAGATGAAAACAGGAGAAAAACAACCATTACAAAAGGCTTAGTAGAACTGAGCAAAAAAAAAAGACATTAAGTTGACAAAAATGAATAACTTAAGAGAAAATTATTACATTGCAATATGTAATAAACGTAAATTACCACAGCATTTAAATTACGAACAAGAGCACTCAGAAAGATTGCATATACTTGACCCGTTGCTCTTTTTGAAGACTGCATTTGTTTATATTGGATAATGTAAAATTCCACCTTTGAATACTCAGAAAATCCTTCTCAGATCCAAAATGATCAAATCAACGATCTGTATAGTGAAATATGGCAACATTTTTTTGTACATTGGACTGTTAGTTTTCGAGATACGTGAATGGAAACACAGACGGACCCATATGCAATACCCCCCCCTCCGGTGGCGAGGCTAATAAATGCATGTCTACTTCGTAATTTTAAGATATACTATTACTTCAACTACTACCTTCCCATACTCTAACAATATATTTAAAGTTACAATTATTATACACACTGCATAAAAATTACCAAAATGAAACAATTCATTGTTACCATATAACTGTGTGCAAAGAAATCAAAGATATTTTTTGAAATACCTTTAAAGAAATTTAAATTGACATACTATATGTCAGAACATCTATTATAATGTTCACAGTACTGAGCTAATCAAGGGGAAAACATTTAACAAATAATATACAACAAACATTCATATAACAAGAAGTTTTTTGTAGGATAAGTATTTACAAATTAAATGTGCTGATTGAAAGCACAAGATCAAGTTTAAAGATGCAAATTAAAAAAAACGTTTTGGTACACAATGTTAACAATTTATAAGATTGAAAACAAATAATTAGTCATGAACTTACCAACAGTTTCTGTACAAGATCTTTTGCCTCTGGGTGAAATCCATCAGGAAAATCATACTCCAATTTTATGACTTTCTGGAATATTAGGTACTCAGTTCTAAAAAAAAGCCACAGATCACTCATTAGTGTTTGACGTACCATAGCTATATCAAATATTATATATGGAGTTTCATTCTGTAAACTTGTGAAGAGCTACCAGTACATTTGGATTACACATCTGCTTTTCCTAATCATGATACACATAATATTATGCACAATATAATTTCACCTTTTGTAGACAGACAGAATGAGCAATCAAATTATGAACTACAAGAAATTCCCCTTCTTTGACTGATCAATGTAAATTATAAGTGCTAAAACCTCATAAGAAAAGTCAAACTCAAACCTAAAAACTTTGCTTAAAAATATTACAAGTGTCTCTCTAGATTATAGTAGACCATCTCTATCAACTGCTACTTTTTGTACTGTTGCTTTTTTAATTATCAAACCTAACAACATCTCTTCTTCAATCTACATACAAGAAGAATACTCCCACACTTTAAACAACATATTAAGGTTTAAAAACATATTTGAAATTAGATTTATAGAAATGGATAAAAATAAATAACCTAGAAAAAAATGTTTACTGTAACATGTAACACATAGAAATTACTACAATATCTAAACCTCAAATAAGTGAATGTTTACTTCATTTTATACCATAAGAAAATTTAAAGAAAAATCGAATAAACACCCTTAGATTTTTACTGTGGGCCTACTTCAGAAAACAAATGTGTATGCACATAAGAGTGCCAATAAGTCATACAGAATCACAATGACATAGAACTTATGACTGCAGGATATATGAAAGCAAGATTAGAAGTAAAGAAGATTGAATGCTGTATTGGGCAATTAGATCTATAAACTTTATTTACAAAACAGAGCGTATTAGAAAATTCTGTCTGTGAAATGGTGACAAAAACAGCAAGAGCACCAATAAATTATACACAAATGCTGTCATTCAACCAATGAAATATATTAGTGAACTTGTCTTTGAAATATTGGTTTTTATAAATATTCTAGTGCCATGATAAAAAACAAACTTACAAGTTATTATCACCATAGAACTAGACAATACAACTTTTTAGAGAATTACAGTATAAAATTAGTATTGCAAAAAAAAAATTCAACATTTTAAGTTTGGGTATTTTATCTTAATATGTTTCTCTCTATAGGCACAAAACATGGTGATCTTAAAAACGTCTATACTATTGTGTGTTCTGTTCATGTACTACATACAGGAGTGGTGCAACTTACAAATTAGCATTTAGGAAAAATATAAAAATTCTTTAAGATCTTTTCATATATTTTATATTTAATTGACTACCGTTTATTAATTACATTATTTTTACTTAACGTTTCACAATGTTTATGATAAAATTGTGTTTCTATGTTGTTACCCCATCTGGGAAGAAACATTCTTATCAGATAAAAATTAAACTACTTTAAACACAATATATAACGGTTTTTTGTTTAATTGTGTGATTTTTAACCTAAAATAAATTTTCAAACTACTAAATATTTTACATCAAGAGTAAATTAAATCCATACAATCCACTAGCTTGAATGAAGTTCACAAATATGCATCGACAAGTTGGATTTTGATAAACATTTTTCTACAGTTTAACATGTCCCATCTAATAAAAAACACATAGTTCATATATGGTACTCTAATGACCTTGAACAAGGTATGTTCATGTTAACAAATGACTTTGGGTAGCATACAATATGACGTCTGTATATCTTGGCCTACTAATGACATGAGGTATGTCTGATGTGAAATCTGTATATGATAAGACAGCTTGGGAAATTTAGTGGTATAGTGTATGTTCTAAAACTAAGTGTGTGGCACTTATATGAAAAATTATGATCAAGACTCTAAAGTATGGTATTTGATGACACAGGAGAATGTATAGCATCATGTGTGTGTTGCATTTACTCATATACTACTGAAAATGAAACAGATCATCTGTGTGTGAAATACGAGCATATGCACAACAAATTAAACTGTAGTTATTGTACCAAATATGGCATTTAAAAAAGATGTAGTTACTTACGAAGCTTGGAAAGGAGGCAGTCCTGATACCATCTGATATAAAATACATCCCATGGCCCACAAGTCTGAGCTGTGAAAAATATAAAGGTTTGAGAAAAAATAGAGATATGTACATGAAAATTAACCATCTAAATTCATCAATCACCTAAAATTAATCACGAGTACTTATTAACAAGCAACCTCAATAAATCAAAGTACCACTGATATGCTGATTATGTTACAACTACCAACTGTAATAATAAGTGAAGCAATATAACTCTAATGCTAATAGTCTACATATTTTATTTGCAAAATAGAAGGAGAAAAACTGCATAAAATGAATCAAACTCACTTCTAAGCATTACAGTTACACAAAAATAACTAAAATATTTTTTATAAATTTCAAATGGACAGGTATAGCTATTTCCAAAGGCAATGAGATGTTGCCTATCATTCAAGAGTCTAAAAACACATTTTTCATTGTCATACTATTCCTGAATGGTATAACAATGATGAATTGATATGAAAAGAAACTTCAATAAATGAGATGTCCAGCAGTATAGCATTTTTGTCTCCTAACGTGTCCTTGCATTATGGCAAAGCTGATGCAAATATTTACATCAGCAAAATCTTAAAACTTACACAAGTAACTGGACGAGAACATATGTGAAAGACAAACCTTGGAGCAGCACTTTTGTCTGTTAACATTTCTGGCGAAACATATTGAGCAGTCCCAACAAAAGAATTCTTCCTTGCATTGACTGTATTTAAATCTATATAGCAAATAAAAAAAGAATATGTCATCACTTTTCATTTATTCTCCCAAAGAACAAGTCTTTATCATGAGAAAGGTTTTAGATTAAATAAATGGTACTGAAATAAGTAAGTTACAAGTAAATCTCTCAGCAAATTTATAGTGGGCTTGTAATAAAATAAAATTTTATCTCTCAGACTGCTACATTTCATAAGCAGACATATTTCTCCATGATTATTATTATAAATGAAGATAAATATAATGTATCTGCTTCATTATCATCTTCTTTAATGTCATCCATTAACCAATCAGTGTCCTTTGTATATACACGTACGATTCTTTTGGCTGCTCTGACATTAACTGGAGAGCATGAGATGTATACTTGTTTATCAGAGCTGAATGATTAATTCAAGGTTGTTCAGCCTAATCTATTAGTGTTACGGCACACAAAAATGATCAACTAATTAAAATTAGTGTTTCTGAATATTATTATTTTTTGACTATTTCAACTAACCAAATATTATGTGAGAATAACTGATTAGTTGAATGTAATTGATTAATGAGTTCATAATTAATCAATCAGCAAATTCCACTAATTGCCAAGATCTGCTACCTACATGTGTTTAATGTCTTCTATGATATACCAAAAAAATTATGCTTACGGTTGTATATCAATTACTGCAAAATAATATGCATTCATTTGTTTGGACAAGTCAGTTCTGCCTACTATAGAAATACAGAAGCACAGAAACCTTGGTTTTAGCTAAAGCTATATACAAATTCTGAATCACCTGATATTAATAATGGATGTTCATGCACAGTTGAACATATTACTGTGTATAGGTAATCATGAGTCACTCTTGTAAAAAATTTCAACATTTTTATACTCTAAACACTTATATGTATGAACCACATATCAAATATTTCAGTTTTACAATCTTATAAAGATATATATACTTTCATTTTTGTATCCCACATATCAAAAATTATCAACAAACTCAAAGTTTAACCAGTAACTAAGATAAGAAATTTTTTATACAATTTAAGTTATCCTCCTTATCAAACACTGAGAGTTTGAAAGTGTTAGTCATAATTGAGAAGAGTTCCATGTGAGAAGGTGACAACACCAGAGATAAAAACTGTTGACAACTTACTTAAAACAAAAATGTGCCAATACTTTAGTAGGTAATACTCACATCTAAGGAATTATATAAATGTTACACAGCAAACATGATAATGAATAACTGAAACCAACTGGTGACAATAGAATGTATATGATGCTGCAAGTTGTATATAAAATTCCTAAATTTAGAAGCACAGTGACATTAATATGTTCAAAATATATTTTACTTTTGATATGAGTTTACAAACATTTCTTTCATTATGAGACCAAATGAAATATTATATCATATGCTATTTTTACAAATTTAATCACATGTATTAACTGTTATTGCTTGCCACAGAATTATCACATGCTGTACTGCAACGAGTCATACTTTTACGTTTAGTAACCATTATAACAAAAACAATCTTAGAGTTTACTTGTGGAAATGTAGACAAATGACCACCATTCATTTTAAATTAACCACTTATAAGTTTTAGTTATGAACAACCCAAGTGGAACTGAATGTATACAACCCAATTATTATTTCTTAATTACTAGGGGAGAGTCACGTTACATTTGTAAACATCCCTTTTAGAAACAAAAACCAAAGTTAGAGAAGAATGACAGCCAGAATGTGATTGGCTCCTCAACAATGGTTCATCAAACACTTGAATTGGTGAAGAACATAAATCTAATAAGGATCAGTTTTGAAAGTGAAGTTGTTCTTTTCATTGATTTTATTTAGCTGAATGTATCTTCCTTTATGCATTAGAAATATGCTGATACATAAAAATACACACAAGTAATTTGATAAGTCAGGTCTGAACATAAATGCTGGAGGTATTCCAAACTATAATAAATTTAAAATGGCATAGAAAAAATATATCATTTAAAAACAACGTGTATCCTATTTTAGCTGTTTTTGAATTTCAGATTTGAATATTTTTTTCCTTCATAATAATGATAATGCAATGAAGGAGTCTCAAGTCAAAAACCTCTGGCAGACTTATGTAACAAGGCATCTAATTTCTGAATCTTTTTCTCTTTGATACATATGGGTAGATGAATTCTTAAAGTGATTTTTAACTTTTAGGACTGAATTTAGAAGAAGTAAAATGTTATTTAATGGCATTTCTACTTATTATGTGTGTGTGTAAATTATTTTTTTCAAGTAACATTGAACAATACTGTGTTATTTCTGTAACATGTGAAGTTAATATTTAATGTGGTTTTATTCATTATTTAATAGCAAAAGGCTAGTCAAAAACTTTCTACAATTTTTAATTCAGTAATTACTAGTCTAGATCATCAGGAATACCTTGAAAAATATAACGTTATACATACATATGCAAGCTTGTCAAATTTATAGACAATAGGGTTTACACAAAGCTAGATTTCAGAGTTGTTACACTGTCTTGAAAGTTAAGGAAAGATGGATAGGGCTTCTGTTGTAGGTTGGGAAAATTTATTGATATCTCAGTAAATGGAAAGGTTTGGACATTGAAAAATGTCATTCCTTTCGATAGTGTATATGCTATAATATTGAAGCTATACAAACTAAAGTGGAGAAATGAGAGCACTAGCATATTGACAAACAACAAAAGTGAAAATTGAGAAATTTTTTAAATATTTTCTTTTGAAATTAAGAAAGTAAACTTAGATAATATCAAAGACTGGATTCTAAGTTATATTATGATGCTTATTTTATTGACAAACATTGATAATTAAATGTAGCTATGTAAAATATCATTACATGCACAAATTAGTCAGGCCCATATTACTTGTAAGTAAGGTTAAGGTGTTGTTTGTGATTTTTGATAAACTAACAGAAAATAAAAAATCTGATTTAAAAAAGTAGCAATATTAACTAATTACAAGTCAAGAATGTGAATATGTTGCAAATGATGATTTTTTAAACATGCAATTAGAATTATTTAGAATAATGTCTCATAAATATATATATATATATCCTGCATTGTTATAAAAAATAAATACTAACCTGAAGAATTATCTAGAACTTTGGCTGACCCAAAATCTGTTATTTGAATATGCATCTGTTCATTTAGAAGAATGTTTTCTGGCTTCAAGTCTCTGAATGAAAAACAAATTTACAATTATTATGTTGAGATATCGAAATCCCATAATATATTTGTAAAGCCTTATCCAAAACAAAAGCATTTTCTGCAACTATTAGTTCCATCAGAAACATTATGTATAAGTAATACATGTTCTAGTCAAAATACACATAATATTGCTAAATATCAACACAGCCATGCATTTGTAAGCTCATAAAATTGTTAATACAACATATTTATCATGCTATTTCATTTTTTGAAACTTATTATTCTTGTATATATTACATACAATATCTTCTAACATAAGAAATTTACAAAAAATGTTCCAAATTACTTTAACCTTTGCCCTTCCAAAAATGTCTGGGTTTGAAAACTCCACCTTGTGCCCGAGATAAAATATTAGCAAACAAAACTATCCAACACATACAAAAATGTCCTTCCAAAAAACATTATTTTTTTGCTATACATTAATATCTAAGTTCACTAACAGATATTTCAATGTAGAAATATTTTGTGAAGTTCTCTTACTCATCTTACCAACAATTTCACCAAAACAACGGACTAAAGTTTTTACAATGCAAAAACTTAAGGTCACAAAGTTTAGCCAATGATATTGAACACTGAGTAAATGGGGTTCAGCTTAATATAAATAGAAAAATAACTGGTAAAATAAAGAAAAAAAATTGGGCACAATGGTTCTAAACAACCACTAAAGGCAAACCTACTGAGCACAACTTCTGGATTAAGCAGTCTTAAATAATGTCAGTGAGAAATATTTCTCTAAGTTCTCCCCCCCTCTCCTCCAGCCAACATGGAGTGACTGTAATTTGACTGTCAATAAAAAACTTGAAAAGCAACAACACTACAACTTAATTAAAATTTTGGAACTTTAAATACCAAAAATCCATCATAGGTCTATGAATATTAGGTTCTAAATCAAACAGTATATTGTGCAACATAGACTAAATGTGGATATAATGCCTATAAGCTAACAAAACTTGAAATAGAACTAGAATTATGGTGGTAAAGTTGGATTATGTGTTTTTGTTCACTTTGCTTTATTCAAATTATACAGAAATTATCTATATCAGAGAAAGTCTTTATAAAGTTCTATTTTTGGTATCTTAAAAAATAAAAATTATATTTATGCAGATCTGTAAAAAGTATAATTAGTACATATTGAAATAATATGAGAAGGGGGTAAACTAATAACATTATTGAAATAACCAAAACCTTTAACAATAATGTTGTTTTTAAGCATAAGCAAAAAACATGTTTCAGTTGACTGATGGATAAAATATAGACAAACACACTAAAGAAATACTGCACATATATTTAAAACCAGAAGTAGTCAACCAACAGTGAACATTCAGATTAGATGGCTTTCAACATACATGTATAGATATATTTTTATTTTAACAACCACTTTATAATTAACTTATAATGTAATAGCAGTAAGACTTACCTATGAATTATTCCTAATTTATGCAAGTGTTCCAGAGCTAATAGAATTTCTCCTCCATAAAATCTGGTGCATTCTTCATCAAAAGATCCCACCTTAATTATATAAGGCAAGAGTTCTCCATGTTTTGCATAGTTCATTACAAAATCTGAATACAATGTTAAGATCAACAATTGTATGTGTGTTTACATATGTATTCATATTGTTCATAACTAAAATACAAATACATACACAGCAGAGAATTATGATATTGCAATGAATGTATATACAATGGTAAAAAGTCTTACTTGGCACTTGTATGTAAAGTTTTCCTAAAGCCTGCCATATCAATGATTCTTAATGCAAGAGGGCAGTAAACCATAAATCTAGATAATTATTGTTGGTTGCTGGTGTTTCTAAGAGGATGGATTCACAATTTTAAGTGACTAATGTTTAATTAAGGTTAACCAATGGTTCACATGATCATTTCAACCAATAACAGTTTCTATGTGGTGGATGACTAAGACTTTCTTATTTTATAGCTATTGGTCAATCCAAATAACTATGAACCAATCACAATGCATTATAATTATAAAAGACTATTTCCACACTGCTTATCTGTTGTAAAAAGACCAATAGATCTAAATCCATTCCTGGTGAGAATTTTAATTTCTTACTGTTTATGTTATCTAATATGCAAAACGATACTTTTTCACACGGCTTTGCCGTTTGTTATTTAAAAGAGATGTATAAAGCACAGACACAAACGTTATGTAAAATACATGGTTGCATGTATATCAATTGAACATTTTGCTGGTTTAAAACTAATATTTTTGAATTTTCATTATTTATGATAACATGAAGTTCACAAACATAATGAAAATTTAATATCCCAATATTTTAATTTGTATTATAACATGAAGCAACAATTTTTGGTGACATTGATACCCATCTTTTCTAATACAAAAATCACTATCTTGTAGACTATAAAATTACTGAAATAAAAGTATTCAGAAGAACACCAGAAACATATTTCATGAAATTTGCATAAAATTCACTGCTTGAGTGGTTACCACCTGCTATATCTGCACTCGTAGCAGTGTTATTGCTTCAAGGACATACACTACACGCATTTGACTTTTAACCCTGTCCATGGTAAAGTATAAAGGTCCAGTAATGACAGTGTTAAACAGCTTCAGGAGGTGACTTTCTACAAGGCTTGTAAGTGTAAGCAGAATAATTGGTTAACAAGACATCTTGAGGCTATAGTTTTAATTTTTAATTAGAGGAGTTCTTTTACTCAAGATCAAATAAACCTGTTGCTGCCAAACATGCTCACACTTTTCAGCAGTCGGGCAGTTATAGAACTAATAGTCAGTCCCATTGAATGTGGAACCAATTTATTTGGCTCATTCTATTTTTTCTTCAAAAACACCAATACACAATTACATGCATAGATTTTGGTTGGTATCAAAATAATAACAATGTTATACAAAGTCAGTGTCATAACAAAATTCAAATTACAATACATTACTGAACCAGTCTAACATCAATATTCATTCAGAGCAGTTGCCATAGTGAGTCACATAATCAGCTCAACTTCCTTCAGTAAACTTCATCATTATAATATTACCTTTTGGCCATCTAAAATTATAATAAGTGCAGCAAGTACAAATAAAATGTTGAAATAGCTTACCAATCTTCCTATATATATTCAGAAAAGGAAACTTCAGTTATATCTCAGGTTCAAAGAGTAAAACTTTGGAAGAACAAGTATGCAAACAAAATATTTAAGCTAGTAAAGATCATTACTTTGAGTTTCATCAAATTTTAGTTTTTAATGTAAAATAAATGCTGCTAAGTTGAGATTAATAATTAATTTTTGGAATGAAAACAGTATGGAGAAACCTGCACAATTAGCTTCTAATGATTTGGAAAAGAAATTTTATCAGTATAAAAATGGATCTTTGTTCTATTAGTTTTCAGAACCTTTATGGGATTTGACTGTCCAATAAAATCCACAGGTTTTTCTTAGTGTAATACCAGAGGAATAAACAACCATGTATCATCTTACAATATGTTATATATAATTTATGAAAGAGAATTGTTCACATACAACAGATTTGCTAAATTGCTATGTGAACAATTTCAGAGAAAACTGATATTTAGATATAAAGCCCAAACCTATCTCCATTTGTGGAATAGCTTCTAAAGGAAAAAGCAACTTTTGAACCAAGAGCCCGGTTTAGGAGTGAGAAATAGTTAAAATAAAAGGAAACTTTCCTAGCAGGAAAAGAAAATGAAACAATAGGGGCTGGAATTTAAAAAAAATGTAGAATTATCCATATCAGTGATCCATAAATGACAGGTAACGGCTACGTGACCAATGTTAACAGAGAATAGTATGCTGATATTGAAGTGACAAAGAATGACTATGTAGCCAGTAGTAGTGAAGAGAATAATTTTACTAAAACTTATTCAACAAGATAGGAAAAATAAAGCACTTATCAATCTATACATACATCAGTGATAATGTAAAAACTAGTTAAAAATATAAATTCATGATAGAATTAAAACAACTTCAGTGCCTGAATTCAACGAGTACATTTCTTTTTTGTCTACTGCTTTTGATTGTTTGTGAATTTTGCCCAAAGCAACATGAGGGCTATCTGCACTAGCTGTCCCTAATTTAGCAGTGTAAGACTAGAGGGAAGTCGGCTAGTCATCACCACCCACCGCCAACTCTTGGGCTACTCTTTTACCAATGAATAGTATGATTGACCATCACATTATAATGCCCCCATGGCTGAAAGGGTGAGCATGTTTGGTGGGACATGGATTCGAATCTGTGTCCCTCAGATTCGAGTCGAGTGCCCTAACCACTTGTCCATGCCAGGCCCTACTGCTTTTGATTTTAGTATACTTATACAAGGATATATGTTGGTAGTGAAACCTTGCTGCACGTGATTGAGCCTCTTCACCTCGTTGGAGTGAATGACACTAAGGGGATGGACAATAGTTGACATCAGTCACTTTATAAAAAAAAGTGAGAAGACTGGCACTGCATTCTCAGAAACACTTTAAAGGAGGATATTTACTCTTTGACAAAGAAATCTGGCATGGCTTAGAAAGTAAATTTTATTTCAAATGCATATGTGGTTCTGTGAAAAAAATCAAATCTGATAAAACTGTTAAAGACCAACAACACACAATGAACTTTGCAGCAGTGCAGGATTTTACTAGGAGCTGGCCCATTCATAACAAGAATTTTTTTTTCAGTTATGAGTATATCAACAATGCATAATCATACATTTATCAAATATGAAAACAAAATTGGGGAGATATATTTTTAAGCCAACATAAAATACTTATCTATGTCATAAATTGATAGAAATTTATATTGCTGCTAATTTTGAATCGAGGAGGGGGAGATTTGAACAATGCCATAAATAAAATGATCATGAAAGACAATAATGGACTGGCATAACTACAGCAACATCATTGTTTGAATAATGCAACACAATTATATGGAAAGAAAATTTGAGAGAAAGTAACTGTTCGTTATTCCAAAGCATCCTGAAATTTACATCTTGAATGTGTATTTTGATGATAAAGTTATGCTTTATTTTTCAGTCACAGGAAGTCTTCTTGATATTAGTAGGCTCAGAAGAGAGATAAATAGCTTTAGAGGCTGGTAATATCAATCCTGTTAATGGGTGGAATCAAAGAAGTTATGGACATTTCTATACAACTACCTGGAAAAGTGGTTACTATTACTGGTCACAAAACAAAGAAGCTTCTGCTTTTAGGTGTTAGAAACAAGTTTTGTATTTGTGCCATTGCTAATATACAACAAAAAGAAATAAATCACATATGCTATAAAAACTGGAATCTCCTGCCATGAAACCAGACACCACAGTAGAAGGTTTTAGGAAAATTGAAGCCATGCATGGTCTATGACAGAGATTCCACCATATACAAGAATATTATAGAAGGAGTTTCCTATGGATGCCATATAGAAAAAATGGAATGTGCAAATCATTTAGTTTGACTATATACAAAAACGCTTTCCACTTTTGTAGAAGAATCAGCCGAGTATGCCAGATTTATGATCTGATGAAGGATAGAGTAGCCATCAGGTACAATGTTGAACAAAATAAGTTTTACCTCTACAAAATGACTTGAAAAATGTGACTTTCATGTTCTGGGAGACCACAGGCAGTGCAAAGCATACTTTTGTTAAAACTCTGGAAATACTGAACCAGCAACAAATTTGATACCAACTATTTCTTGACTAGTATTTGCACATATCACATCAGCTGTAGAAGGTCTCATGCAAAAGGCCCATTGCCTCATCACAGATGAAAAAAACAATGCAGCAGAGACTTATATGCATATAGTCATAAAATTAATTTGGGGAAAACAAATTATCTGGTCAAAAAAAAAAAGATCATATCCTCGACACTGTTTTGGTTCTGGTTCCGATCAGTACAAAACAGAATAACAATAAATAAAATAAGGCTGGTTTTGCCTTTCTCTAGGTCAATACAAACTATGAGTATGAATGACAATACCTATAAGTGGTGCATGTGTGTACATGTGCAGCATGCAGGCATTGTGTATGTAATACAATATAGTAGTGTGTGTGTGTGTGTGTGAAAGTTCCAATGCAAGTCTAGTCTTACTCCAGGCTGTACTTGGTGAGTAAATCAAGCTAGTTAGAATGAAATCATTGAATGCAAGTGGCCAAGCTCGCTGTTCTGTTTAAAAGTTTTACAGGTCATTGACTGTTTGTTTCTTTAAGATACTATGTAACATTAGCATGGTTTTTTTCCCAATGTACACAAGTACGAAACTTCCTGGGAAATAAGGCATCAAAAATTAGTTGAATAAAGATGCAAAATTTCCAACTAAATATTAATTGGATATTTTGGAAATAAATAAGATATAAAAACATCAAAATTCTTGTAAATGAGTCTTTGTACATCAATACTGTCACAATTGGATATTTTTTGAGGGTCTTTGTATTTTATTTTTTGGACCACCTATACAGCCTTCTGAACAACCTGGAAATTTCCTTAAAATCAAGTTCTGAAGACATAATCTTACAAAACTTGGAGAAACAGAATGTGTTTGACAAGGCTACCTGATAAATAGATGTGGATGAAGCGAACAAGCCTTTGTCAAACAACTAGGTGAAGAATTGGAAAAGAGGAGGAAGAATATAAGCTATGTTATAAAGATCAAAGGCAGAAGGTGGACTACCGTCTTTGGTAAATGGACACGGAAGAAGGTCTGATGGATTGGGAAAGGAAAGATGCAACACATGGAGTCAGTCCCTGGTCTGAGGCAATGGACCTGACAAAAGCCATGCATGAAGATGGAGTGTGGTAACGTCTGGATGAACAATGTTTGAGGGAGTAAAGACCGAGACAGAAGTATAGGTAGGGAAGGTTGTACAAGTAAAGGTCAGAGCAGAGGGAACCATGGTTGTGCTGGCCAATATTAAGCTACAAGTAGGACTAGACAAACAGTGGTTTGGATTATGGATAGAACTCTGGAGAGAAGTCGATTAGGAGGGTAAACATCCAATCTTGTCTGAATATGTCCACTGCCAGAGCTAGCAGGTGTGGAATGGGAGACCAAAAGGAAGGAAGTCTCGTGTTCCAGTGGGTGGTGAAAGCATCGATATGACATGTCCCAGCTGAGAACACACTCACCGAAAGACATTTTGATTGATGGACCACAGGAGAGGAAGAAAGTGGAACAGAGTTCAATGAACCACTATAAGTTTGAGAATGTAGATACAGAGAGAAGACTCTTCGACTGACCAGACTGGAAATTTCTCGAGTGTCGAGGTAAGCACCCAACCCTCTGAAAATGCGTCCACGAACAGGGACAGGGAACAATGAAGGGAATTCATATGAGCTCAACTCATGGGAATGAGAGCTTTCAAAGAAGCTCACATCCCCAAAAGAGATAGAACCTTTCAAGCTATAAGGTGAGGACTTTGTGGATTACTTTCTCAATATTCTAAAGATGAAGAGAAGGCTGGGACTGACTGTGGTTGAAACTGAAGAAAACCTCCAAATGAACAAGGTATTGAGTGGGGGTAAGAATAGACTAGTCAACTTTTATCAGGAATCCTCCCCAGTGCTGCTTATTGTAGGAGCAGACAAGAGTGGTCTCTGGAGTGTGAATGGGAAGAAGTGAGCAAAAGCCAGTCATCCATGTAATGATGATTGCAAAGACCCATTGAGTGAAGATGTTTGGCAAAAGGTCTTACCACCTGAAAAAATACACAAGGAGTCGAGGTTATTCCAAACAGTAGGGCTATAAATTGGAACACTCAACTTCTAGCTATAAATTACTATCAATGATGTAGGTACTATAGAGATGAACCCTAAATTGTAGAGTATGAGGAGAAACACTGTATTCTAGTATCAAGAACTTAGGAAATGTAGCTAAAACAAAGCTCAGCCCTACAAATGGGAAAGAAATGAGCATATCAGTGATGTACCAATGAAAAAAAAAATTAAGTCCTATGTTAACTAAAATTAGGATTATAAGGCACATATTGAACAATGATGAAGAGAAACATTATACATATAGAACACTGAGTTAAATGTTACTAGTAAGAATGATATGTAAAGTAAGTACAAACTATCTAAATATACCAAGTTAACAAAGTACTCATTAATATCGAACTGACAAAATATTGCAACTTCCTAGTCCACAACATATGTAATAATAATGAATGTGTAAACAGACTAAAATTACCTATAAAACAAAGTAATAATCAACATCTAACTTACAATAAATTAAAATTAACTTAGATGACAAAGGACACATAAATATCTAACTTACCAAAGTCTAAGCACTGATGATGTGAAATATTTAATTTTCCCTTGTAAAGAATGAGAAAGCCACACAAAGGGCATCTGAGCTGCACCTACCATGGGTATTGCAACCAGGTGGAAAGTGTACAAGTGGAAACACTTACCACTTATCCACTGGGAGATCTGGAAGCAATAGAAAGAAAGGAGGAGAAAACAAACCTCCACCAAAGTGAACGAAGTGGATGCATGCCAACAGGAGCAGGAAACAGAAAACTAGCAAAATTACCCTAATCTTGAAAATACAGAAAAAAAACTGAATTTGCATCGAACATGGACCTGAGTAACCAACTGTATATATATAAAAAAGTGTGGAAGGTGAAATCTCCTGAAGAGGTGTATAGTGTGGCAGACCAAAATAAAAAGGTGCCAAATTGTCTTCTCCTTCAGCAACATTTTCAGTTTGAAAAGGATAACAAATTTCTGGTCAAACATATTAATCTAGCTCCCTGCAAATTAAGACCTGTACCTCCTCTGCAGATAAAGTCAAACCTGATTCCTGGGAAGTCACACTAATAGGATTGTCGACTGTAATGGGAACTACTGTATTCGATACACTGAATTGCAAATTCATATGAAATTCTCATATAATTTGGTAATAAGAAACAAATGCAAAAGAAAAATCATTGAAACAATTGAATGCAAACAGTGTAAAAGAAAACTGCTGAAAAAAAAAATTGAAATGGCAAATAACCCCAATCATAAATGGTAGCCACGTGCAAAAACATCACACATCTAAATGAAGCTGTGCCATTCAAGAAAGTGAGGACTAAGCAGGAATAGCATAAGGAGCTAGCTGTATCAACATAGGTGGTGCAATACTATTGGTGGAGAGTAGTTATATGATATGTACATGTTCAAAAATGGTGCAAAATTGATGGGATATATAGACTGGTGTGACGAGCACAACAAATTTTTACCAATGCTTAGAGGGCAGAAAGAAGCTCAAGATAGCTTTGAGTGAGGGAGGTATGACCATATCAGAAATTATCAATATATGATGAAAAATATATTCACAACTTCCCCCTATGGCAGACAGAGCTCAGATAGCCCATTGCGTAACTATGTGATAAAACAACCAAGCAACATCATGTGATTATAAATTTCACTTCTTCTCTGGGAGTTCATTTTAACTAAATTTAAACCCCCTTTTTTAGAGAAATGTTTTTAGTTCATGTGTTATAAAAAACATGCTATTTAAACTGTTTATTACTTTAATAACTAACTACAGAAAGAGTTGAAGAGGATAACCTTTTAAAGTTTGGTCTACTTCTATATGTTTTGCATGTAAAATAAGTTGCAATTTCAAAAAATAATTTTCAAAACATATTTCAGTTTGACTATAAAACCAAAAAAAGATTAACCACTTAGAAATTATGTAAATTATCTTTCTGGAAAACATTGGATACTTTGAATCATGTAGATTTGATGCAATAATGGAATTTAATTTTTAAAAAGTTACCTTTTTAAAACTCATTAATAAAAAACTGTTTAGTTAACTTTATAATTTATACTGCTTAATAACTCTTTGATGTATTTGTTTCACACAAAAAAATTACATTTTTAGAATACCTTATTAACCAATAATTAAAAACATGCATGGGTCATGCTTTCTGATCAATGTATAATAGTTAAGGAAAACATTAACTTTAACAATGATATAGACTGTGCTTCATGTGTTATGAATCAAAAACTACTTGCCAATTTATTATTCTATTAAAATAAACAGCAATATTGTTTTTATTTTATTTTACAATAACATTTCACAGGTCTTTTTGGGATACTAAGCACTCCTTCTTCCTAAATTTTTGTCCTTTTAAGCTATAGAAGTAAACCTTAACCCGAACAAGCATTAAAACAGACCTTTTTATCCTATTCTGATCATAAAAGTTTCAGGATAAAAATAATACATTGAAAATGAAATTAAATTATCAAAGTGAGCAATGACTTCATTATTTTTTAAAAATATATTAAAGTTGGAAAATCAAATTTTCACTATCGTCTATGCCATTTGGCATGGCTGGCAATAGCACCAGCTACCCAGGTTGATCAATTTCTTTAAAAAATAGTGAGAATTATTAGATTTACATAACTATTAAACATTTTCCCAAGAGCCAATTTTTTTGCAAAATCAAAACTAAGTAAAACATAAATAAAGCACATGTACATATAGCTAAAAATACCATCTTGAAGAGGTTTGTCAGTAAAAGAATCGAAGTAATATCCAAAATAATCCAAAGTGGATATGCTAAAGGCATACTATACTAAACTGTGAAAAATCATTTGTTAATATTTTGATAGTTTCTTGTTGAAATTTTTTGAGATCTGAGAAAATAAATATTGCACTCATCAACCATGCTTAACATGGATCATTAAAGATTTACCTGAATCATTATTGAAAAAAATAAATAACATTTTCAAATTCTTTAAATGTAGTGCAATTAGTAGGATACAAAGTCGATCTGTATCTTGGAAAGTACAGAACAACTTGATGAAGAAGGGGCTGGGATGATCATTGAGTATATTCATAATCTGTTTCTCCCTCATAATAGCTTTCTGTTTCTTTTCCCGAAGGATGTGAACTTTTTCACAGACTTTGACTATGAAATAAGTAAAGAAATTTTGTGAGTATAACAAATGTAATGCAACAAAACAAAAATGGAAGACAATACAATGAAACATTTTTAATATCTCAGTAGGTGAAATGTAAGCATATTAGTAATACAGTTAAGTTTAAGTACAAAACAACTGGAGAATAATAACACTGTATGTTGGTTTCTATAATACAGAGCATTTGTGAAGAGTTTTTAGTATATAAACATTAGTGATGTGCTGGTTACCAAATATGATACCAAAATTACATAAAACTCTGGTGATAAAATTATCCCGAAGTCTGTGGTCCAATGGCTAAAATAAAACTTGTTTACACAGTGAACTGTGACCAACTGCATAAATACTTGTATGTGTCAAGGACAACATATTGTGCATTTTACAACAGTGACCTGTCCAGGTGGAGATACTGTAATATGGAGTCTAAGGAATGTGGCCTTACTTATTGATTTTCACAATTATGTATCAGTTTGTGCAGAAGAACAATTTACTAAATGGGTAGGGCAGGATGGTGGATTATGTCTAAAATGGCTTATCAACTTTAGATAACCAGAAATAGTTACAACTGTACAATTTCAGGGAGTGTTTTCATGCAATGAGAGGATAATTGGGGAGGAGAATTCCTTGGGTCAGCTGGATGGAAGAAATCTATTTACTAGGTGAAAAAAAAAAGAAAGAAAGGTCACGCACACACAGATATGGTAAGTATTTTTCACATATGGAAGCACCACTCCTTCAATTGACATAAATAAGCATTTGGAATTGCACATTGCAATTATATTCAAGGTTTACTTATAGTGTGAAATATAGTTGATTTCCTTCAGGCAAACAACAATGCTGATAATCGGCTGCTTGGGCAACTTTAACTAACTTTTGTTTACAAGGTGGGGTAATCTTACTTAACAAGTGTTTCTAAACAAATAAGCAAATACTGTGCATGTAACAGATATTGTGTTCTGCTGTTCACAAAACTGATGTAGAATTTCTATTTCTTAAGTTGTGTCATTTTAAAACAAAGGCTTGCAATACACGAGCGTGAAAATTGTTAGGCTAGCTAGTTCAAAGTGTATTCATAATAAGTCTTTACTGTAGTAACCAGTTTTATGATACTTGTATAGTTTCTGTCAAAGAATTGAAAGAAATGTTGCCATAAAAAAAAAACAGTTTCAAATTCTGTGCATTGGAAACACAAAGATGGAAAATTTATACTAAAATACTGTAAAGCAACTGGCAATACATTAAGGTTTCTTAGCATATACCTATCTTATATATTTTAATATAAAATTGAGTCTTTTTTCCTAACACAATGTCAAGCAGTTTCGTAACTTTGATGCTACATTTGCAATAAGGTGCCATGCTATTATTAGGTACTAACAAAAAAATTTTTTTCACAGTATTTTCTTTGCATCAGCATAACCCCAGTAAATATCATTAACTTACGGTTTATTATAAATACACAATTTCAAAATTCATATGCAATGAAAATTATTGCAGAAAACAGGAAAAGTATAAAATTAATAAATGTAATGATTTAAAGGCTGCTATGTGCTGAACAAGTAGGCTTACAGTGCTGAATAATCTAATTTACATTTTACTTAGTCTAGTATTTAAAGATCATATAAAGACGTAAAGTTGAAAGTAGATAAATACTGCAGATTATTTGAGCTATATAATTACATAGTGTGTCACCAATTGCATATAACTATTGTTAAACTTTAGTCTCTTAAATAAAATAAAAAGACATACCTTATTATGCTATATTAATTTACTGAGTAACTTTATCGTGTTATAGCAGTCTTAATCACACACTACTAATAATTCTGAGATGTGAAAACACATACTAAAATACCTACTTGCATATTCTTTGCCTGAACGGATATCCTTTGCCAAATACACCTAAAACACATAAATGTTTCTTTGATTATTTAATCTTCACCACTACTTATTTAAAATCATATGGGCTTTATAAAAGAAAAGTAAGTGAAACAAAAACCCATCTGATGAAATAAATTAACTTGTATGTTTAAAAACACGATAAAACAACTTCTAAAGCTACATTACTTTGAATGACAACTTTTGTTGTATTATTGTAAAACCATTTTTATGTTCTGTTAAGACATAAGAAAAACTATTATTCAAAGCTATCATTTATTAACACCCTTGTTTTGTAAAAATATGTAAAACATGACCTAAACAAAGTTAAAGTCCTCTATAACTCTGATTCATTGGCATGCACCACTCTTTCATGTATGCACCTTTCTTTCTTCTTCTTTTGTTAGAAATTGAAACTAAGTATAACTTAGAAACTACAGATGCACAACTACTTAAAGTATTGCAAAGCTGTGTATACTATTCAAAACAGCATATCTATTTTGATATAAATGGTTAATTTCCTATCTTCAAGAGAGCATGTCAATAAACAAACACTTCTGAAATATGAAATGAGCCTACAAAACCCTGGACTAGTCACCAATAGCTTCTAAAACATGTAACTACTATTAAATTCATTTGAAAATTAGGTAAATCATAGCTTGGTTTGAAGATTCTCAAAAGTCAAAATTACATGAATGGTGTTTTTGATGAGTGTGTATGTGTGTGTATATATATATATATATTTATTAGGAAGTTACAGAAATAAATTGAACAATAAATGATAACAAATGACATAATTTGTGAAGTAATAATGCAGTAGCCTGCCACCTCGTATGATAAAATAGCATACATTCCACACTAATTTCTAATACTGTATCTATAACAATCACTTTTCAACAATCATACTCAATAGTATTTTATAATATCTTAAACTGGGATAGAGAAATGTCAATTTTTCAATACAATGTAACCTTCCATCAAGATTAATTTAGACAAGCTACAAATCCCTACTTTGACTGCAATAAAATTGATAAGTTCTGTAAGTAAAGTTGTTCTCAAGGGACAATCTTGAAGGCAAAGATTGTATCATCACAGATTTAATGATCGGCTTCCATCAATGTCACAGTGTAATGTAACAACAGATGAGCAGCAACAAAGCAATCTCATCAGAACAGAATAATTAATACAACACAGATTAATGCAATATAAACAGATGCAGTGACATGGTTACCTTGTTAGGTTTACATGACATACACAAATGTTCTTCAACAGCCTGTTGTGCACAAGTGTTTGCTAGAATAAGGTGACACAAGTAATGCATGCAAAATAGACAACAGCAACACACTTAATGTAAGTCACCAATTATCAACAACATTTACAACTGTTACTTAACACCAACTATTTAAGAATAGCAATATGAAATAGTACTATATGCTGTGGTAATAAATACTGAATATGCACTCACAATTTCAGGTAAGTATACAAAACAGTAGAAAGAATTACCACCATCGTCTGAGTAGGAAAATCTACTATGGTAATCATTCACTGTTACAAAGTTGCTGAAATATATTTGCAGAAATCCATGTTGAAACAGCTAAGTTGAGTAATGATGAACAATAGATCTCGAGTAACGATATGCAACAGCAACATCAGAAACCTTTCACGTGGCAGTTTCCAATTAATGCATTAGACAATGCACAAGTTGTAGTTTCCAACTAACATACACGCTAGGAAAACACTGGATTTCTTTATGGTAGAAAGTGAATTTTGCAACACGACAAAATTAAAAAGATTGAATTAAGTTTAAAAGTATTCTCTCAGTGTTTTGCAAAATTCCTCTGCAATCCCACACTACAGTAGATATCACTTGCTATAATTTTACAGTGGAGTCATAATAGGGATTTGTAGCTTGAACAAACTGTCAGCAGTAGATCTCCAGTCTTGTTTGATTACTTTTTTGTGATCCCTATTTGTAGATTTTAAATTCTCAATTTTTAATTATCTTGTATGTTGAACTGCTAAAAGTTATAAGAGACTGATGTGGAGAGAAGTTTCCTCTACTGTCCAAAGTCCCTTAAATACCGTATTTTCCATACAAGCACCCCAGCCCTGAAGAGAAGCACATCTGTGAACAGAAGTATCCCTGGCCATGGAGGTGGAAGAGGTACATTTACTGTTGTGTTGTCCCTGTCCAACCACCAGTTGAGATCCAGCAAACTGGAATCTGACAGTCTCACTGGACAATGCAGCATATCTGTGCTGTAATGACCATTGAAGGGCCCTCATGTGGGCCTGATCTAAAGAACTGAATGATTCCAAGGATGCCCACATCTCCAAAAGGGATAGAACTGTGCATGCTGGTGGAGAAGGAGATAACTGTATTTGAAGAACTACCTGTTCTTCAGTTGAAGGTGTAGAGGAGAATGTTAGGCCCAGCTTAGTCTGGAAGTGAAAAATACTCCTAAATGGATGAGGTATAGCATGGGAGTAAAAATAGACTTTTCCTTTTTTTGATAAGAAACCCAGCCTTCATAGCTTCTGATAACAGAGGTTCAATGTGCAGTTCTGCTAAATGGTGTAAAGGGGCAAGCAGTAAGCCAGTTGTCCATGTAATGGTGAGTGTGAATGCTGAGGAAGTGAAGATGACATGAAATAGCTCTCACTATCCAGCAAAAAAATGTATGGAGCAAATGCGAAGCCAAATGATAGAGCACAAAATTGAAAAACCTGGATGTCATGCACAAAACTGATATAATGCCTTGAAGACTCGGAGATCAGGATATATGACTTCGAATTATGTCATCCACAGTCTGAGTGAAAATAGCCACAGTAGGGAAAGAACGACTCCATTGTAAATCGAGGAGGCTGTAGGAAGCAAATGGGATGAAAAAAATGGATGACTGGTCACCATTCGCCCATCTTTTTCAGTACTACAAAAAGCTGAGAATAAAAAAACCCTGAGAGAGGAGGTGACTATGGCTTCTTGGTGTGAAGATTGTGGATGGCTTGTGCTCGACGGTTGGATGTAAGAGGGTCCAAGGGGAATGGAAAGCCAACTGGTATGAGAGGCAGTGGAGGAGAAGACATGAACTAAATGACCCATCCATTCCCGAGTACTTGAATGACACACTGATCTGTGGTGAATGTCTCCCATACTGACACAAACCCTCTGAGATGAGACCCCACAGGACCTGACCCCATAAGGTAGTGACTGACGCTGAAATCTGTGCTCCACCCTCAAGAAGGATCCTGACTGGTAAGGTCAGAATCGTAATTGTGTTTGAATGAATCGTGGCACCGAGGCAGGTGGTCTGGAAATGCGAACGGGAGATGCCATAAACCCTCCTGTAGAAGAACTTTGGGACAGTCAAGAAGCCATTGTATAAAGTGAAGAGTGTAGATAGACCACAACTAATCACCATTCCATAGAGTCTGGGATTCCTGCAAGATAGATTGTCAGAGAAAACGAGTTTCTCTGAAAACTCTAAGGTCTGACACAGATAGGCAAACTCCCTTTGGTAAGGTATCTCTCTCCAAAAGATCCCAGCAACAAACCAACCAAGATACCAAGGAGAGAGCAGAAACTGATAACCAGACCAAAGTGGAAGGCAATAAATGATAAGATCCTCCAAAATTTGAGCAGAGGAACTAATATAAGCCTCACACAACAGTTACAAAGATGATAAAAAAGTAAAACTGTTGTAAGTGACAGATAAATTCTGGAAAACCGAGATAAAGTAAGATAAACAATGGCATCTTGTCTAGAGCCCCAAGTAGGAAAGTAGAGGGTCTAACCTCTGAGAGCTCATATAAGGGTACTCCAGGTGATTGAAAGCCAAGGCATGCTGATCCAATAATGAGGAGGACAAGGCATGGCAGCACCCTTCCTCAATTGATCTGCAAACTTCCTTGCGTGCACTGCAATGTCTGGTGAAGGTGGAAGGACTAGGTAATCAGACAAACTAGTTTCTCCCAATAAGGAAGTTCATCAGTCATAAGCCACAGGAGAAATACTCAAAATGTGACAAACATGGTGTACGAGTTGTCTGAGCAAAGGAAGGTGCTGAAAAAATAGTCTAAAGTCTCACTAGTCTGTCCTTGACCTCCCACAATTCAGCCTCAGAGCCAACAGGAGTAAAAACATTAGACTGCATGTAAGACTATCTCTCTCTGAGTATAAGGAAATGTTTGTCCTCTGCAGGCTGGCTTGTGTAGCAGGTGTTAAACTATTAACATAAAATATTTCCCTCAGCCAGAGGGAAAGTAGTGTTTTTGGGCGGCAGATAATGAAAGAGGTCACGTATTAAATATGAACCACTTAATCTCACTATTTTGTTAATGAAACGACAGATTTCCTTCAAAAGCAGATTTAAAGTTCAAAATACTTAATAAACAAAAATGGCACACACACATGAGGCCTCCAAACAGTGGCTGCTGATGCCAGATATGAATACAAGGGCTAGATTTGAGGAGCTTTATTATAATCGACTTAGTCCTATAGGAGTAATTATTGATATATATTTCAAACGTTGTTGTTTCCCAACTTCTACCTAACAGTTAAAGATAACTTTTCTCATCATGTAACTGAGAATATTGGTTTGAGAACTCACTCTTTGAGTTGCCATACATGATGTCTCTGAAGGAGCCACACATGGATTCTTCTGTTACTATCTTCACTTAACTTGTAAAGCACAAGGAACACACATACCAACCCCTCAGATTACTTAATTGTGGACATACTTATGAATGGACTGTAGAGTTGTATGTAATTAACTGTAGTGTATTCTAAGGTCTTGCTTCCACACCTCATGTGACACTGGCCACAATGAGTGTCTGCTTTGTTTGTTTGTTTTGTATTGAATTTCGCGCAAAGC